CCCATAGCCGGAGCTCGCACCCGGAGCAGATCGCTCCGTCGTCCTCCGCCACCGTCGCCGCCGACAGCGGGTGGCGGTGGCTGAAATGTTGCGTCACCATCTCTCTCTACTTTCTCTCTCTAGAAGTTGTGGGATTGGATCGAGGAGATAAGGCCTAAGCTGGGGAGTCTTTAAGCCCAATAATGGTTTCTGCTGGTCAACTTTTCTTCCGTATTCATCGCTGATATTTTTTTTCTTTTCTTTTGGCATTTAATCATATTTATTACCATTAATTATATCTCCATTTAATTGTTTTTATTTTAAGAAAATTATAAACTATCTTTTATCCCACCACTCTTTAATATTTGACAATTTAACAGAAAAATGAAAAAATAGATAATATTTTTTTAAAAAAATAATGAACTGTCAATTTTTTAATGACGGTAAAAATAACTAATTAGGATATAAGTATTTTTCAATATGAATTTAGTTTTTTTAAACATATTTATTTTGTTATTTATGTAGATGCATCTCCTTGTTAAAGATCCCACATTGAAAAAGAAAGAGACCTTACAATGATTTATGATAGACGCTACTCCTCTCATTGTCAATTGATTTTGAGATAGGATCCCAGAATGTTAATATACTATTTATAATAGATATTGCTACTCCCCTCATGAACCTCATTTTCTTCACTTGGATTTTAACTTTTGGATCCATGTCACAAAGTCTTGAATTTTTTCCATTGTGAAGGAGGACGAGTGGACGACCCTACCATCACGGTCAAGCGTTGTGCAAATTGAGACATTAGTAGTCCAAAAAATCTTATTTTCTTAACTTGTTGGAGATATCAAAAGTTCTGAGGCGTATAAACTAATTATTTAAGTTAATAAACAGCATGATATTAATCTTCTCTTCCTCAATTGTTTTTCACAAATATCCATTTCTTTACGTACATAAAAGGGAAAGATAACTATAAGCTTAGCTTGAAAATTTCAATAATGTAATTGTAAAATTTAATTAATTTAAGTCAAATTCGGCCACTCAACTAATAAAAAAATGTATCTGTATGTGCCCATCCCAAGAATAAGATTAGCAACTTCAAAATTATATTTTTAATTAAGTCAATGGCTTTAAATATTGATATTTAAAATAACGTTATAATTTATTTCTTTTGACTTTTTATAACCTCACGTCCTCACCATCCGTTTCTTATTCTATCTTGATCTCGAATTTCTTAGAAATATTTTTTGTAATATTTTTTAATTAAAATTTTCTATTACTAAAGTAATTCATTTTTGAAATTCAATACCAAAATCGATTTAGACACTGTAATTTCGATTAAATATAATACAAAAATTTTACAATAATGATCGAGACAAATATTTTTTTAAATTAAAAATTGGTGATCTTTAGCTCCTTCATTATCGTCACATTAGAGGTTCCTTATTTTAGTATATTATAAATTATTCGGAGTGATTGTTATCGTATTTTATATTTTATAAGAGAATATTTTGAGGAGCATAAGAAAAAATCGAATATTTAATATTTTAATAATCTTGTGAGTGATGTAGGTGAATATATTTATTATTTCTCTCTCCCAAAGTTTTTAGATTTAAAGTTTTTATTAAGAGAATAAAGATAAACTAATACAAATTAGATAAAATTATTTTAAATATTAGGTATAAAATATGGTTCAATAAATCATATCTTAAGTGGGTCTCTTCCATGTGATATTTATTATAGTGTGACAAGTTGATCTGTGTCGTTGCTCTGCTTTATTTCATGTCCCATTAATGACCTTTTCAAAATCAAAGACTTGCAATAAGGGCATTAATGAAAAGTCTTTCAATTAACTTTTCTTAAATGTAAAAAAATAGAAACATGTTGAGTAGATTCTCCTTTAATATTCCTAAAAAAATGAAGATTCTCCTTTAATACAAAAAAAAAAAAAGAAAGATTTTTCTTAGCATAATCTTTTTATAATTTGTAACAAATAAAGTGAGAGCTCTATGTATACATATATTATGTTGATGTATCATATTCACAAATTACGAAAAAGTATTTTTTTTTTTAAGATCTAATAAGGGTTGGTAGGAGTTGAACTCATTCAAACATGATCCTTTCTACTTCTCGACAATGACAATTGAAATAAAATTATTGAGTTCAAATTAAAACTTTTAAATTAACATAGATTAACTGAAATTTTTAAGACCATAGAGATAAAATTAAAGGCAAACTAAACCTAAATGAATGAAATTGGTAATTCAACCTATTAGAGGACATTTAAAGTTGGCGTGGACTACTTGTCTAAAAACAGAAGTCTGAGTCTTAGAAACAAAACAAGGACGAAGTGAGATAGACTAAATCACTTATGATCAATGCCATCAACGGAAAATCCACTGACACTAGATATCAATATCAAAATGGTAGAACCACGCTTCCTAAAGCTCTCCTAAAAGAGGTGGAGTCCTTCATTTTAAAAGGTACGCAATTTCTATACAACTTAATTAAGCTCGATTTGGTACCAATCGAATTAAGTTCTAACATAAATTTCAATCGTAGAAGTGTGTGTAGATACTCAACTTAGATAACCAAACAACCATCTCGATTACGAAGCTTACTTTGTCACCTCATTTATAATCTTACATCCTAATAGAATGAAAAATGTGAAAGACTAACAAACATGAGCTTAATTAAAAAACATGAATTTAATTCAAGAGTAATTGATATCTATTTTTGACTAAGAGGTCATTGGTTCGATTCTCGTTAGCTCAAAAAAATCTCAAGAACTGAAAATATGAAAATTATTTTAATTTATTGAAAAAGGTATTTTGTGCGTCACGAATGACGATTTCGTGAATAATGTATCGGTAAAGCGTGGGGGAAAAAAGTAACCAAATTTACTAATGTCGTTCTCCAATGGGAAGACGGTATTTGGTATATCCCCAACGACGTCGTATGATTCTTCCGATATGTCGGGCTTCCTAATTTGATTTTCAGACCAAAAAAAAAAAAAAAATTAGAAAAAAAAACGCTGAAGCTGTATGTATCCTGATATTGATAAGGGCGAAGTCCAAAGTTCTCTTCCAACTCTCCGCCACCGCTCCACCGCCTCCTCTCCGCTTTCCGGCCGCCTTCTTCTCCGCCTTTTCCTTGTTCTTCACTTGATGGATTTCTTCCTCTGTTCTTGAGGAAGCGGCGTCCTGGAGAATCGACTCGGAGTTAAGATTTGCGATTTCTCCCCGATTGGTGAAGTGCGTCTTTGATCGAGGGCTTCAGATGAGCCGAATCTTCGTCTGATTACAGGTTCTTTCTTCTGGTTTCTGACTTTCCTCTGCGTAATTTTGAGGGTTTTGAATATTTGTTATATGCTTCTGCTCTGTTGTGATCTTTGTTTGTTCATTGTGCTAGGTTTATTCGAAAATGTTAATTTCTGATTTTTTTTTTTTTTGTTTTCACTGGGGTATTCGAATTTCGTAGCAATTTGGTGAATTTGTGTACTGGTTTCGTGAATAATTGAAGCAAAATTGCTCTAACAATGGCTATAATTTATGATCGAAGCTTCGGTAGTTTCCTTTTCTTTTTAGGGTATGTGGAATACTTGAGACTTTTGAAATGTAAAGGTGAAGTTATCGGTTGTTTATTGGCAGGGGAGGCGATGCTTCGATGGGTTTCCCGAATTTGAGATTTTGTTTTTAGCTGTGTGAGGTTAGAACGAAGGAAAGATTCGGTGTAGATGCTAACGGGAAGTAACTCGAGAGAAGATATAATGGACCTCGATTTGAATCAAGAGCCTTTGGAGCAATCTTATGATTCAGTAATAGGGTTAGACTCCATACTGAATGACCTTGAAACTGCTCATGGACGCATTGAAGAACGCATCCGGCAACTTGAAGCTGTTACAACAAGGGCTACACGACGACAGAGATGGCGACATGCTCCGAATTTTATTGAACCTGCTGACTCTGCAGCAGCTGATACTCACGTTGAAAGACATGAGACTGGTGATGATAGTACTGCCCAGGAAAGAATAGTTCATTCAGGGAAAACTAGCAAAAAGGATGGCACTAAATTGATAGCCAAAGCATTGGGGATGGATACAGAGCCTAAGGCCACTGGGAACAAAATGGGAAGTTTTTTCGATTGTAATATATGCTTGGCTGTCGCAAAGGATCCGATATTGACATGTTGTGGTCACTTATTTTGTTGGTCTTGCTTTTATCAATTATCTTATGTTCATTCAAATGCCAAGGAATGCCCTGCATGTCAAGGTGAAGTTACAGATACAAGCATCATTCCTATCTACGGCCATGGGAATGCTAACCGTGCTCAGAAGTCAAAACGAAATGACTCTGGTTTGAAGGTTCCTCCCAGGCCTCGTGCTCAGAGGATTGAGAGTATGAGGCAGCAGATTTTATTGCGAGGGGCATCTTCTTCTCTCATTGAAGAAAGAATTCAGCAAATTAGCAACATGATTGGTGCAATGGGGGAGCAGTCTCGGGCACAGAATTTTGATGTTACACATGGAAGGACTGAGAGGACTAATCTGTTGGGCCGGAGGCGTCGTTCTTCCTACGTATTACCTGTTGTTGAGAACGAGAGCAATCAGCAAAGCCGATCCCTTCAAGTTTCTAGGTTACTATTGCAAGGTGCTGCCTCATTTTCATCTCTTTCATCTGCTTTAAATTCTGCAATGGACTCTGCTGAAAGATTAGTTGAGGACCTTGAGACATACATTCATAATCATAGTGCAAGTAGAAGCCGCCCACACTCTCTTCCTAATAATCCTAACAACGGAGACGCCTTGTCCGGTATTCCTGCGACTGTGCGATCAGATGGCATGACTCCAGATCCTGCTGGTGGGATCACCTTTATGGTTCCCCAATACGAGTCATCTTCTAGAAGTATGGATATCGCGAGTAATATTGATCACCTAGGAAACCAGACCAGTACTGCTACTGAATTTAATCGAACAATACTCCCATCTTCATCGACCAGGCGGAGAAGTGAGTTACCACTACGGTCAGATATGGACAATGAAATTTTACAGGAGGCGAGGAGGAGAAGATTGGGATAATCAAATTGATAGTGAAGTTCTTTCTCATAGTTTGAGCTATTTGTTTACTTTCACTCTCTTTTTGTAAGTTATTGAATTTTCTTCAATCCTGGGAAGATCCTTGCTCGTGTGAAATCCCATATAAATAACTGCTAGCCTAAGAAGTTTGAATGTCCATTAGCTGGACATATTGAAAGATTATGAAGTGGAGCGATCTCGTCAGCTTTCCAACCGCAGCACACTTCTGTCACCACGTGGCGAACCGGGTTGTTTCCATACAAAATATGCAGATTCGATATCGCTGGTAAGCCTTGTAAAATATACTACACACCTTCTGCAAGTTCCCCCCCTGTCCCCCCCTCCCGGTATCGAAAGTTTTCCTGTGGCATAGATAGAAAGTGCTGGTTTTGGAAAGTACTGAATTCAATCTGTACCTTTTCTTCTGAAATTCTTTCATTGAAGAGAAAAGGTTGTGTTCGATGGAAAACCTTTGCATTTGCATCTTCTTTGACTTTTATGTCACTATTTCATTGATTTTGATTTTGTCATAACGTAGACTAATGGTTTGGTAACACCTCATTTATATAACTTTTCTTGATCAAAACATATTGCCCTATTGACCTGCCCCTTGATATTGTTTCTTTAAAAAGTTCTCATTTCACATAAACTGGTGCTGATGTGCTTACCAAGGATAGAAGTATAATTCCTTTTATTTTGTGGGTAGAATACCTACCACTAATACCCTGACTAGTTGAGCTATGCTAATGTCGGTTGGTTCTTATAATTATATCTATATCCGTCCATGCTATAAATAGTTCTTGAGCTCTAAAAGGTTTTAGGTTTCAATTACGTCTTCACATTTATTTAGTGCCTATGTCATGAATAAAGTGCTCACATGTTATGTCCGTTAGTTTGATCAATTGATCACGAGCCAAGCTCGCCCAACCTTGATTCTCCAAATTGGAGAATGAGATGGAGATGGGGAATGCATCTCTGTCTTTGCCTTGCCTTATTACCATCCCTAGTCACCCGCGACAAAGTCTGACTACTAGAACTAGAAGTAGAATCTTGTATCCATAGAAGAATGAAACTAATATATTATCTCTGTTGGGCAATAAATGGATGTGTCGTGTGTAAGGACAGGTTTGAAAGAAGCTGTACTCCAATGGTGTTGGTTACAGGTTCCAGACTGAAATCTTTGGCTTAGCATAGCATAGCATCTACATAAAAAGTTGCAAACTGAAGAGAAGACAGAGAAGCTACCACTGATCCTCTCCTTTTTAACATCTAAAACTCAACTTCACTCTATATTCTCTCTCTGTGTGCCTAAATTACCATCCAATCCACACACCTCTCAACAAAATTCATTTATTCACCACTTTCTACTTAACTGTTGTTACTTTTTTCTTTTTTCCATTAATTGTAAAATTTTTTGACCTGCCCTTTTTACTTAGTTTCTGTATGTTTTTTAAACTTTCAATTTCGTGGAACGAGAGATGGGAACAAAATTGCTCATGAAGTTGCCCAAAATGCTTTTTCACCAGGGTATTTTTAGGAGACTGGGGAGAGAGATCTCCTTCTTGGCTCTCTCCTTCAAGTGATGGAGTTGAATGCATATATTATATACAAATTTAAAAGATGAGAGATCTTACTAAAAACTTTTAAAGTATAGAGACTAAATGTCAGTGACCTATCAAATTTGCTAAATTAGGTGAGCTAAATGGACAGGCTCTAATAGCCAAAATACTAAACTCATATTGGATCATTCTTTTGAGCTACAACTACGAACATAATTGTTACTTCAAATTTTCATTAATGATAGATAGATTGGCTTGAAAACTAGAACATGGAACCCACAATAGATGACAAGACCCCATTGGCCTTTCAGTTTCCCTCCTTCTAGAGGGAAAATTTCAATTCCTTCCCGTTATACAATACTACTTTTATTTATTGTTTATCACATCAGCATCATTTAATAATAATGTGAGATCCAACAATATTAAAAAATTATTTATGACGCAAAATTTATTGTAGGAACAGAAGGGAGTATGTATTATTGTAGTACAAGAATTTTTACCGTCGCTCATTCTTAACGCATCTCTTTATACTACCCTCCTACCTTGTTTCTTACAACTCATTTTACTTACTATAACGTGTGYTTACTACTTAGTAGGGCTTAAGTTACATACATTGATGTTAAGAAATCAAGTTTATAGCTGGTTCGAATGGTTTCGCTAATTGTAATTCGTAAGTTTAGTAATATCTATTGTTACATAATCCATATTATGCTACCTTTGAAACCTTAAAAAATAAAATAAAATCATAAACAGTTTAACAAATTCATTTTTAAATTGGTCATATTCAAGATTTTAAATGTCGATGTCAATGAAAATTCGAAGTCTCAAGTTCATGAAAATATTGATAAAATGTTGATGTTGATAAATATTTCTGTAAAAGTTAGAGAAATTAAAAAATCATAAAAAATTTTAAATTAACAAATAAACGTTTTCTTATTTCTAAATAAGTTAAAATGATTAGTATTAAAATTATGTATATATTTGTGACATTTTGTTGATATTTTTCATATTTTTTCGATTTTTTATACTTTGATGGAAATGTCGATTTATCTCTCGTATCGATATCGAATTTATAGATACGTAGCCATGTCAGATGAAAATATTTAATACCATGGTCACGTCTTGATTGCAAGAATTTGGTAATTCTAGGAGATAATTCCTCAAATTGAAAGTTTCAAAAAAGGAGTCCCTTGAGAAATCCAACTAAACCCCTTTCTTAATTTATTTTTTTCTTTTTTTGGGATAATGGAAAAGGTTTTGGAGGCTCAAAGAAATCTGGTGGATTTGACCTCTGCCTGACCTCAGGGAAACCAATCCACCATTAATTAATGCTCAAAATCTCTCTCTCTCAAATCAAAAACTCTTTAATTCTCCAATCAATTTCTGCCACGTGTCTAATTGGTCTTATGTGGGCTGGTTAGATCTTAATTAACCCCTAATCACTCCCCACAATCCCACTTTCAAAATTTCATGCCCTTTTCAATGCCGTCTCAATCACTCTTCAAACTCATTTTTCAAACTTGTTTTCATTTTACTTTTCAAATAGGGATTTCTTAAAACCTCCCCTCAGAAATAGGTTTATATGATCCCGACATAAATATAAGTTTCTTAAAACTCGAGTATTTTGAAGACATTCCCGACAAAAAGAAATAGATAGTTTGATACCTCGTTTCTAAAATATGGTATCTGTTGCACATTCTATTTTATTTTGTTAAGGTGTTCGCTTCATTCTATTATGTATTTGTCATTTTTCAAGATTAGATAACATTTATTTAATTGGCTTATACCTCATAGTTTTAACGCATTTAGAATTATATAGAATTGCATTTCAAAATTAAGATACATCGATATTTTTTTTTTCTTAAACAATCAAAGTTTAGCAACTATATTTGTAATTTAGTCACTAACTTACATTACAAGTGAAACTCGGTACACTCTTTACGATCAAACTAGACTATTTTTTACCACTGAATTCATGTAAGTAATTACCTTCAAATCCAACCATTAAAATAATAACGAAACAATCAAATTTCTATCCAAGAAAATTTAAAACTCACCACAAAAGTCAAGTAAGAAAAAAAAATTGAAAATCCAACATCAAAATTCCAAATTATTGTGTTTGTTCATCACAACCACAAAAGGATAAAATTAAATGTGGTTTGTATGTGTGTTTATAGTTTTGTTTAAAAACAAATTTAGAACATAGGGTAGTTTGTAAAATATTTTGAGATTTTATTGTAAATTTGTATATTTGAAAGGGTAGTTTTGCTATTTAGCTCAACTTGCATGCTTAAATAGATGATTTCAAGCATTCTAAAAATGTTTTTACCAAATAGTGTACACGATTTCTTAAATGTTATAGAAATTACCCCACTTTAAAAGAATTATCAAATTATATGTTTTTTCTTACGCAAAAATCAAAATTAAATGATGAAAAGGAATTTGTTTTAAATGTATACATATATTATTATTGCATGTGAGAATGGAAAAAAAAAAGCACCACTTTGTGTGGCATTGGATACCTTGTTTGGTATTTTTATTTTCAATTCTCCCATATTTGAAATTCATGTTAAAAAAAAATAAAAGAAAAAGAAAACGCTGCCATGAAAATGATAAATGTAGTGTCTCGGATCCTGGATTTGGAATTCGAATTCGGCACCTAATAGCCCTTGCATTCACAAATCAACACGAATCTTTTCAACGTGCTTTGTCTAGTCACCCAACTCAAGATCATTCCAAACCAAGTATGTTTAACTTTGAAATTCTTATAATTAAGYCACCGAAAAGGAAGGTGCACTTTGTTAGTATAAGTAGTAACTATCAATTTTTTTTTAAGTATTTCTTAAGTATGTTTTTCTATGATCTCGAGATCCCTCTTATTCATGTACCCTTCTCTCTACTCCGATGTCACAAACTTTAATTGCAAAAATTTTGAAAGTAACAACTGGTCTGTGTAGAGTGTTAATTTCACTGCTTATTCAAATTATAAATTTAGTTAGTTTGATGGATCTTAAAAATAATTTTTTATAAAAATTTTTTAATGCTGAAGAAAAAAGTTACCAAAACAATTTAATTTAATTTTTTTATTTTTTTNAAAAAGAGCGTCAAAGGGAAATATTAAATTTGGAGGAAATTTTTAGTGTCTCGTGTTGATGATTACAATGAGTGATATGGTCCAAAATTATTAAATAACTATTTAATCAAGGATTATGATAACTTCTCATCAGCACTTTTTATTATTAGTATTATTATGAAATAAACATCGAAAGTTACCAAAATGATTTGAATTGGTAAAAAGAAAAAAAGCAAGAAAAAATATTATTTCTAATGATGCTTTGTTACACGATGTAATGATCATCCACGACCATTTATTGATTATTATTGAAATATAAGCTTTTTAGATACAAAGGTATTGAAGTTTAAGTTTGTTGATGAAAGACAGTTGTAAGTTCAACTACTAATTAATTCAATATAAACATCTAACCCGTCGAAGAGATGACCTGCACAAAAAAATTTACCCTGTGGTAATATTCGACCACGTATATTCCGAGAAGCTTAATTAATTAGTACTTAATTCAAGCTTGTGTAGAGCAGAACTTAGTTAGGTTGCAAAGAAAAAATGTCCATTTGCGAGGAATACATCTTGCCTTTTATAGAAAAACTTTAAGAAACTTTGTCTTGCTATTCATTTTCGATGCTCCTGGTGCTCAAAATATTTTACACCAATGGCATTTGTGTTTTCAAATCAGTTTCGAGTTGAGATTTTGCTGAATTAGTTAGAGCTAGGTTGATTTTACTGACCCGTCTCGTCCTCGACCTATCCAAGTTGAGGTTTGGACACGTGTATGTGAATGAGAGGTGCCACCGTGACAAGCTTTGATTCTTCCACCTGTAACGAAGCGTCTAATCATCAAAACCCCATGCTCTTCTAATTTTATTATCTTTTATTTCAAAACTTTGAATTATGATTCTATTTAATTCTTACCGCTAAGCAAAACAACGAACAAGAATTAGCTGATATGGCACAACGTGAACATATTAATTTAAAATTGCATGCCAAAATTGAGGCAATTAAAAAAAAGATATGGTTTTATAAAGAGGAAAAGATGGAGTGAAAAATGAGATGGAAGATTGGGACAATGAAGAAGCAGAATGATGGTAGGAATGTAATTGTGTAAGCTTCAACTGGGACAACATAATGCATATGAGAGCCACAATGATCACATTTCATGAAAATTTTCATATTCTTCCAAAATTTACTCTCAAAAAAAGACATTTGAAGAATTATGAAGCTTCCCTATATATAATTATATTATTCCACTTGATTTATGGGCATGGCTGATGGATAGCTTCAATCATTCTTCATTATGCATCAATGTAGGACTCTTTATTAAATCCCTTTTTCATATAATAATTAATAATATTAATATTTGCCAATATTATTATAGCTCAACATATTTAGATGCCATTTGCTTGCAATGATTTTTTTAATAATGATTGAATTTTAGGGACTAATTCAAAAAGTAAAAATCATGTGTTACCCATGAAAGAAATTCATTGAGTTGGTTTAATACTTGATTCATAAATTGGGTAACAACCATAAAAAAACAGTTATATTTAATAGACAACGAAGCATAGGTTGATTCTAAGGACTTACGACTGTATGGTCTGCAATAATACATCATATTGTTTTTTATTTAATTCTCATTCTTCTGACCTTCAAATCTCTGCTACGAATTTGAGTAATTCTATTTTCTCTCCAAATCAATTCTATGTATTCTTTCATACATAGAATCCTATATGGCATGATTGTTCTCAATTCATTGAACTAAGGTTTCAATAATTTCTAGCAAGAGTCTCTAATTAATTGGAGAGAGAGTTCAAAACTAAAATAAAACCAACAAATAGAAACGTGATTTAGAAATTAAAATAAAATATTAAAAAATGGGAAAATGAAATGAGAAATGACAAAAAAAAGCAACATATACTTCTCACTTAATTTTTTTATAAATATGTATCGATATCAATATAAAAAAAAAATATATATATATATATTTTAAATGACATTAAATTATTAATAAAATAAAAAATGTAAATTAATAAATTAAGATAAATTTAATCATTTAAAATTTACACAAAATCTATTTTAAATGACATTAAATTATTAATAAAATAAAAAATGTAAATTAATAAATTAAGATAAATTTAATTATTTAAAATTTGCACAAAATCCAACCCACAGTAATAAATATTAAATGTAGTAGAAAATGACAATAAATAAACGTTCTTGTATTAGATTAGATCACTAATGAATTTAAATTTATTAATCATTTAAAGATATCGGACGTTAAAATTTCCACTGAAGTTGACATTTTAAACCCAAAGAATGCAGTAATTTTCTCTTACATCATATCAAGAAAAGAAAAAAGATGGGATTGTTTACATTTCTCTTAAAGTTGCAGTCTCTCTCTCCCTATCTGCCACTTCCATCTTATTATTTGACTGATCCATTTAGAATCTTTCAATCCCAAATTTCCCATCATTTCTCTCTCTCTCTCTATCTTTTGTTTCTCTCTCCTCATCCTCCCTGGAAATGGAGCTTGGTTTGAGATTAGGAGATGGTTCTCCATTTGGGTTCCCTAAGACTCAAAACAAGCACCCACCACACCCCACTGTATCCCGCAGAGGCCTCGATTTCTGCCTCGTCGACGCAAACGACGTCGTCGGCTGTTTTTTCGGCCCCCCGCCGCCGCCTCAGCTGGATCTTCTTCTTCCTCGTACTCCTCTCGCATCTCGCCCATCTTCTGAAACTGGTACTACTCCAACTTTAAATAATAGTAATAATTATTTTCTTTCTTTTTTATTACTATTATTATTTTTTGCGTTTACCCAAACATAATTTAGTGGTAAGATACATGTAGTTTTGGTAAGGATGAAGTTTTGATTCGTTTGGATTCTTCATCCTTTAAATACTCGCTTCAGTTTAATTAATCAATGTGATTTATTTAACTATCTTTAGAGCAATGTTTAGATTCTTTCATCATTCATCTATATCCTTGACTATCAATTTTATTTAAAAGTTTCAAAAAATAGGATACTTTTTTCTTCTTAGCTTTTGAAAGATTTAACAAGATAAATATTTTGGTAAGCCATACGTGTTTTCTTATTTGTAGGCCATGTTAGTGGTGTTTGAAATTTAGGGTGAAGTCATAAAATTTTAAAGACACGAAAAAATTTTATATTTTTATATTTTTATATTTTTATATTTTTAATTTAATTTATTATTTTTTTTTTTGCAGAAGTTAATAATGAAAATTTAAAGGGGGCTGGTTAGAAATTAAATTTTAATTTTTAAAAACATTTAAAGACGAGGAGAGGCACTGGAAATGTCCTTGTCAGATGTTCAAATGTTCGATAACGTTTTAAAATTATTTATTAGGAAAAATTTATAGTGGTGTGTGTGTGCAAGCAAAAATACAAAATAAAAGATAAAAGCTAAAATGATTGGTTTCCTTTTTGGTTGACACGTAGGGGGTTAAAGTAGAATAAATTTAAAGGTTAAAAGAGATTGAAATAAATTTCTTTTTTAAGGTTAAAATACTATTATTTTGATTCCTGAAGTTTCAGTCGTCTTGCTTTATTTGGTCAGAAGAGAGGATCTTACATAAGTTTATAATATATATTACTGTTCATTTTAGTCCTTATACTTTTAAAAAGTGATCATTTTAGTCATTCTTTACAAAAGTTTAACACAAATTTTACACATAACATAAACTCATTACTTCTTTAGTATAAAGTAATGTTTAAATTTTAAGCCATCTATATTGATTTTAGTATCCTATTGAAATTGTGATAGAAAATAATAAAATTAAATGGTCAAAATGGTCAGTTTTTAAAAGTACGTACATCAAAATGAACATTTTAAAAGTACATGGACTAAAAGACCAAAACGAACATTTTGAAAGAATATGAACCAAAATAAATAAAAGCCATAAGTACAATGACCAAACTAGTATCTTGACCTTCTTTTAAAATCTAGAGATTAAAATAGAATAAAAATTTTGAGATTTATATATATTTTTTTAGTACAACAATTTGGTGATATGGAAGATCTCAAACTTCCAACCTAGAGGAAAAAAATACATGTCAATTACAGCTGTGTTCTTATTATCATTTTAAGTTTAGATATTATTTTAATCATTCTACTCTAAATTTTAGATCATTTTAATCTCTATAGTTTCAAAATATTTTAGCCGGACATTTCTACCTTCAAGTTTATTTTAGACTCTATATTGATTTTCAAACATTTATTTTGTGATTAATTTAATTCTTATTTTCAAAATTTTAAATACAAATTTGGGATTGGTTAAAAGAAAAAGTAGTGTTTAAACCTAACCAATATAAAAAAACCCTATCTGATGGGTGCACTGGCTTCTGACAAATACACAGATGTTTCAGAAGCAGCGGCGGCGGAGGGCGGAGGAAACCCATTACTGTCGGCATCATTGGAGTACGGCGGTAGAGCGGCGGCGACACGGCCGGAAAACAGCAGCGGCGATGAAGAGGAAGAGGAGCAGAATTTGGGGTTGAGGAAGAAACTGCGGCTGTCGAGAGAACAGTCGGCGTTTCTTGAAGAAAGCTTCAAAGAACACCACTCGCTTTACCCTGTAAGAATCTCTCTCGTCTCACTCAAACTTTTCTAAACCCTAATTTTCACATAATTTTTTTTTTACTACATTGGGAGTAAAATTAAAAACTTTAAAAAAAAACCATGGATGAAACTGAGAATTATTGAAAGATTAGGGTTTGATGTACTTATGGCTTTTATTGATTTTTAATCTTGTATTTTTAAAAGTTTATTCTGTTTAACTAATGTTTTCGAAGTTGGGTTCATTTTAGTCGTTATATTTTTAAAATGAAAAAAATACTCCATTTCTAAAACAAAGACTTTTAAAAAAAAAATAGAGAGAATTGCAAAACCAAATATATATATTGTTGTCAATTTTTTCCATTGTGCTCAAATCATGATTTGGTTTTACTATGATTTTTTTTTTTATAAATTGTCCATTTTGATTATTGTAATTTTAAAAACTTATGGATTTATCCCCATTTGTAAATTTCTATAGATATTAGAAATTCTTTAATACAAATTATGACTATCTTCCAAAATAAATTAAATTAAATTAGTGAATAAGTACTTAAATGATGAAGGAATGAAATGAGATAAAATAGAATTAAAAATCGTTTTAACAGGAAATGCCTTTATTATTAATTTTTTTTTGTTTAAATTTGTTTTAGATATATACTGATGGAAAGTATGAAAGTTAATTGCAGAAGCAAAAGGTAGAACTTGCAAAGAGACTGAACCTTCGTCCTCGACAAGTGGAAGTTTGGTTTCAAAACAGACGGGCAAGGTTTGATAACTATTTCGGCTTTTTCTTTTTCTTTATTAAAAGATTAAACTTATTTTTATTTTTGAAATTTGACTAAAAATTCAAATATACATTAAGATGGTGAAAAAACGAGATAGTTATGGAAAGGGGTGGGTGTTTTGGATGAGACAGAACTAAGCTGAAGCAAACGGAAGAGGAGTGTGAATACTTGAAGAAATGGTGCGAAACGCTGAGCCAACACAACACAAAGCTTCTGAAGGAACTCACAGATTTGAAAGCCTTGAAAACCACTGATTCTCTCTTCTTCCATTTGCCCCCCACCACTCTCACCATCTGCACGTCTTGTCAACGCGCCGCCGGAAAACACCTCGCCGACGAATCCCACGCCCACCGCACACAATAATTAATATCATCATTAGCCTTTTCTTTTTTCTTTACATCTTTTCCATCCTTGCCTGGTTCTCTGTGCATGAATTCATGAAGAGATTTATTTCTTTTTTTCTCTTTTTAATGTTGAAATTTTGTTTATTTGATTTGGATGGGCAGTTTTTTTTTATCATTCGAAACTAGGAGTAGAAACTGTGGAATAGATTTAGAAAAAAGAAAAATACTTGCTTCCATTTTTTACTGATGAGTAGAAGAGAGAAATACGAAGAAAAAAGAAAAGAAAAGAAACAAAAAATTTAAAAGCTAACATAATTTTCTCGACAATCATCACAAAAATGGATGTTGACCAAAGTGAGAAGGTAACTTTATAGAGTAAAATGAGATTAGACTTCTAGATAAATTAAAAGTGTATATATTTAATTTTTTTTATTTTCAAAATTGATTTAAGACGCACTCTATTTTATTTAGTACAGTGGCAACAGACTTGTTAGGATACAGGTTTGAGCCCTCCTGTATGAGGAAATAAAAAAAATTATTTAACACAATATTTGGACTCATGGACTTTAAAAAGTTGTGAAAAATGGAATATTTAGATAAATTATTTGGCTCATGATTTAATACTAAAGATTAAAATTTTGAATTTATACCATTT